AATCAAATTAAATTATGTTTTGTTAGTTTTATTTACCTAGTTAGTTTTATTTTTCATAACACTGATACAATGCTTAGTGAAATATTAAAAGAGATACTAATTAATAATTTTTCAGAGTCAGAAAAAGATACGAATGCAAAGCATGAATCCAAGTAGATAAATAAAAAGAGTAGATAAAGTTGTGAGACTTCACTAAAGCAAAGGCAGAAAAACTATTGAAAGCAACTAATAAGTAAGACTTTATCACAAAGAAACAGCAATTAGAGTGACAAGTGACTTTTCATCAGCTCTATGGAGTCCATATGATGGTGAACTTAGTATCTTCAAATGCTGAGGTGAGATAAATGTTAGCCTAGACTTCTATATGCAACTAAAATATCATTTAAAAAATGAGGTCAAAATAAATATATTTTCAGATAAATAAGAGCAAGAGACCCATGCAAAATTATGAAAGGATGTATATCAAGAAGAAATAGGTTGGAAACAGCAGATAGCGGTGGGATATAAGAAGCAATTGGTTATTAAAGGCATCGGTAAACACATAGATACATCTAGATAAACACTGATTATTAAGATTTTGGCAATGAGTTGTTCACAAACTTTAAAATTTTTATAGACAAGGAAAATTTCTCTCCAAAAATTAGTGGACCAATATAGGGATGCCAACTTTTAATTTTGCTAAGTTGGAACATTCTGTAAAGATGGCCATTAGTACACACACACCCTGCCCTCATTATTCTTACAGTATATTGTAACACCTAAAAAAGTAAAAGGAATAAAACAGTAAATAAGGACAGCCCCATTAAAATTAAAAATTTTGTTTCATGAAGAAACTTAACCACATAATTGACATAATTCTTCTAATTTTGTCACAGAATATCAAAAACTTTGTCATAGAGCAGTACCAATCCATCGTATTTAGACTACATGCCTAACTATACCCTACCTTCTCCCTGGTTCTGATAAATTCTAAGTGATAGTGTTATTGTTCATAACACTAACATAATGCCTGGTAAATAGTAAAGGCTCAACAAATATTCTTGAATAAATGGGAAATAATACTATTAGTTTTGTTTTACCAGGCAATCTTCCTAATTGGTTAGAAGTTGGTCCCATGAAATTAGAGACTCCACGTCCATTTATCAGTGTTATGTAACAGAAATTTTCCTTCATGGAGACTGTTGATAACTTCCCTGTCTTTCCTTAAACTCAAACCCAAAGACCCAAATCTCTCTTATAGAGTCTTTCCAAAATTGTAGGGTTAGAGAAGGGAATTAATTGCCTTAACACACAAGCAATAGTTTGTTAGTTCATAGAGGTCATGAGACTAATCTTGATCTTAACATTGTATGAAAATTCATGAGTATGTGAAAGAGAATTGTGCTCTTCTAGAGCTAAGCTGGCAGGTAGTCAAAAAAAAAAAATGAAAATTTCTCTCCAAAAATTAGTGGACCAATATAGGGATGCCAACTTTTAATTTTGCTAAGTTGGAACATTCTGTAAAGATGGCCATTAGTACACACACACCCTGCCCTCATTATTCTTACAGTATATTGTAACACCTAAAAAAGTAAAAGGAATAAAACAGTAAATAAGGACAGCCCCATTAAAATTAAAAATTTTGTTTCATGAAGAAACTTAACCACATAATTGACATAATTCTTCTAATTTTGTCACAGAATATCAAAAACTTTGTCATAGAGCAGTACCAATCCATCGTATTTAGACTACATGCCTAACTATACCCTACCTTCTCCCTGGTTCTGATAAATTCTAAGTGATAGTGTTATTGTTCATAACACTAACATAATGCCTGGTAAATAGTAAAGGCTCAACAAATATTCTTGAATAAATGGGAAATAATACTATTAGTTTTGTTTTACCAGGCAATCTTCCTAATTGGTTAGAAGTTGGTCCCATGAAATTAGAGACTCCACGTCCATTTATCAGTGTTATGTAACAGAAATTTTCCTTCATGGAGACTGTTGATAACTTCCCTGTCTTTCCTTAAACTCAAACCCAAAGACCCAAATCTCTCTTATAGAGTCTTTCCAAAATTGTAGGGTTAGAGAAGGGAATTAATTGCCTTAACACACAAGCAATAGTTTGTTAGTTCATAGAGGTCATGAGACTAATCTTGATCTTAACATTGTATGAAAATTCATGAGTATGTGAAAGAGAATTGTGCTCTTCTAGAGCTAAGCTGGCAGGTAGTCAAAAAAAAAAAAACCGTCAACCCCTGTAACTATATTCCACCCCTATTTTCTTTCAGGGAATTAACCCAACTACTATAATAGTTGTTACACAAATTCCCCATGAGGCAAAAAAATTTCATAATGCATTTAACTTTATGAGAAGTTGGGACCTATCTTAGGGTGCTAACAGCAACTGATAATACATGTACAATTGAAACTGATACACCTATGCAAATACATTGATCATCCATGTTCTAGCATCCAGCAGTTTAAAGAAAGAAGGGTATTTCTGAAAGTGTGAAATGGTTCTCAAGTGTTTTCAGAAAGTGTACCTCTTGCTTTCTTGGTATGAAGTGAAATGTCTTGGTTTTTATCTTTCAAGAGGGTATTTTTTATCTTTGGACATCTAAATTGGGATATCAAATCTTTATCATCCAAGTTTATATTTTAGATAAGGGATCTATTTGAAAACTCTTCAGAGCCTTCTCCAAGACTAGTATAACATCTTGAGAATATTTCCTATATATAGATTTCCAGTTCCATACTTAAAATAGAAATCTGTGAGAAGTTATTGCTCTATAAAACTGGAATCCCCAGGAACCAACCAAGGTAATAAAATCCTATTAAAAGTGGGAATCTACCTTTCAAAATGTGTCATTCTAAAAGATAAGAGGGCCCTATCAGAGGACTGTATTGTGAATCTTGAGATTAAGGTTTTGGAAGAAGTATCTTGAGTGCTTGCCATTTTAGATAGAGATTTTCAAGGCACTTTTGGAAAATAGAGTTTTTGTAACTTGACTAAATAGATGATATGAATATTGTGTTTTTCAATGATAGAATTTTAATTTCACAGTTCTGTCTAAAGTAAATTGTAGGCTTCTTTTACTTCTGTCTGAAGTAAGATTTAGGCCTAATAAAGATCAATAAAGATCAAGAGTCCGGTCCAGGATTATGGATATACTTTTTGTGATCTCCTAATATATTTTTCTAGCAGTGCTTCTCTGTTTTTGTGTAGACATTTTCTTTGAACATGGGTATTTTTGCGACATGGAACAATATTTTAAAACCCTAAAATATTAGTCCTACTGCTTTTTAAAAATATTAAATTAAAAAAATACATCTAGGAACATACACTAAGAAATCATCTCCTATAGAAGAGGGAAAATAAATCAGTACAAATAACTTTCTATTTTTAAAATTAAAGTATCATTGATATACAATCTTATATTGGTTTCAAGTATACAACACAGTGGTTCAACAGTTACCATATTATTAAATCCTCAGCCCCACTAGTGTGCTTACTGTCTGTCAACATGGGAAGACATTACAGAATCACTGTCTGTATTCTCCATGCTGTACTACCGACTCCATGTCCAACTTATGACTGAAATAAGTAGTTTTCTCTTAAAATAGAAACTGAAGCTCTGAAAGAAAGTGGAATTTGTAATAAATTGGATTGTAAGAACACAAAAGAATTGTCCACAGTGCATATTGTTTTTCTTTTCTAATGTTTTAACTCTCTTCTTGCTCAGTACTTCTCCAAGTGGAATTTAAAATAAAGTAAAATACAGTTTAAAGTAGATACTTTTTCAGAAGTATTTGGAAGTCTAATCGGAATAATATTATCTCCTCTTCTGCCTGGTGGGAGGGGACATCCTAAAGAGTGGCCCAAAGATATATCCCTTCAAGCAGCTGTCCCCTGTGGGTCATTTCCATTTGTCAGAATGGTGAACCAGTGAATTAATTACATTACTGCTTTATTTCTGAATTGTGTTTATGTAACATATATGTTTATGATTTTGTTTTGAAAGTTAAAAGAGCAGCTGGAGATTAATAGCAATAGAATTGAATGCTATATATAATTTTTTATTGGCATATTCTTAATATATTTTTATTGCAAATATGTATTTTATGCCAAGTGACTCTAAATTAAATTAAAAACTTGTAATATCAATAATGGTGCTAATTGGTGATCATACATAAAAAGAAACTGAAATATTTGAAAATTTTCTTCAAAATAAGATTATTAGTTTTTTGCTCATAGTTAAAAACTTTACTCAGGGATATATTCATCATCTTATGTTAAAAAATGATTAATTTATATAAATATGGACAAAATGGAGTATTTTGTTTCCAGTATTAGAATAAATTTTGTAATTTTTCCATGCTGAAGTAGCATAAGAAATCATAATGAAGAAGACAAAACAGCTCCAAACAACATCTGAAAAAAAAAGTCAAATATTACACATAAATAGCAGCATTTTTTCAAAACTGTATTTCCCCTTCAAGAAGGTAGGTTACCTTGAGGAACTGCAAATAAGTGCTGGATTGTTCTTCAGCCATATATGAATTTTAGAAATTATTTTCTTCCCATTCCCATGGTCTCTCTCTTCTTTATTTTTAGCAATATTTTATTAGTAATTGGTTGAGTATTGTATATTCTTGAGAGTAATAGACATATATTTCCTTTTTACATAGTTATTCTTTCTCCCTACTCTTCTATATTGATGAAATTTCTTCACCTTATTTTTAAAAGATCTTAATCAATATTAAAAACTAAGATAAAGTTTGTCAACTAAAATAATAACTATAAAGACAAATGTTTAAATGATTTTGCAAAATGGGTAACCCAAGTTCTCATAAGAACCTGACCTGAAATCCTCATCTTTGATGCTTCATCAGCAGCAACAGCCCTGGGATCTCTTTTTAAAGTAATGCTGAGTGACTGTAGATAGATTTTATGGAAGAAGTAGACTTGCTTTTAGTCTCTACTTCTGATCAACTTGGTTTTGCCTTCTTTCCTAGGAAGTGTGTAGAGAGCTCTGGTGTCTCAGCAAAAGCAACCGCTGTGTCACCAACAGTATTCCCGCGGCTGAAGGAACACTCTGTCAAACTGGGAATATTGAAAAGGGGGTAAGTGCAAATGATTTATTAGCTATTGACATGTAGACTGAACTGATACATTTCTGGTGTTGATATTCAGCCACTAGGAAATCATGCATACTCATTTAAAAGGTATATTCCTAGCTTAATGAATTAATTGTCATATCTCAATATCTGCAAATGTGCATTGTTTAGGAAATTACAGCGACTATTTTCTGGGTCAGTTACACCTTTTTGCATATATACGTATGAGTTATATTTGTACAAAAAGTCCAACAATCTTGTAGTCATAAAATATAGTCTGTTTACTCATATAAGTCTAGCTTTTTTCTCATAAATAATTCCTGGGAAAACTATGTGATTCAAAATAGACTTTTTAACTATAGTCTAGCTAGAGTTGGTTTTAACTGCAGTATGAGACAAAGAGCTAACAGCAGAATAGTTAAAAAATTTATTGAGCATGGAAATTAGAATTAAGTGTTTTAGTTTCATCCATCTACTTTTTAAGCTATCATTATTTAGAATTATTCAAACAGATAAGAGTAATTTATGCTGTTATAAAATTCTTTAGGAATTGCCATATGTAAGAATTCTAGAATTTATTGCTATGGACTGAATTTATAATAATAACTATAACTGTCATCTGTTCTCATTTCTGACTTCTTCCATGTTAGTTGGGCTAGTTTCAACAAAGATTACATGGAACTTCAGTTGCAATCTGATGTTTAAATAAAAAGAATGAAAGCTTTTGGGCAGCTGTCACAGTTTTATTAATCCTTGCTGACGGCTTCACTCAGGACCCATGACCTAGTGCCATGCTGATGGCTTTTCCATTCTAAGTATGGAAATGTTGGTAAATTATGCTCAATTTATGAATTGATTGGGTCAGTTTTAAAAGATTAAGGATCTTTTTATTTGAGACTTTCTAAGTAGCCAGTAAAAATACAGAGACCTTCACAAACTACCAAAAAATTCCTTCTTCTTTTTTTACCAAAGCAATTGAAAGTATAAGGAACCACATTCTTGAAACAACAGTCTAGGTTTATTTTGGAACCAACAATTCTTGTCAAGTAGCAATTTACATCAATCTGTGCTTATAAGAAATACACAACTGTAAGGGGGGGAACAGTGAGAATCTGTTTCTTTTTTTACCACTGATTGTTATTCTTGTGATCTAGTCCTTGGGCCTCAGTTCCTATTTGCCTAGAATAATTCTATTACTAGGCCTGAGGGGTCTTTTTATTTCACTTTATTTTTAATCCAAAGGGTAAAGAATTCAGTCTTTTAAACACCTCAGAGTCCCAGAAGCATTTTGTAAATTAAACAATCATTCCAAGTAAGTAAACCATAAATAGTGGATACCTGAGAACACATAGCTCAACCCCACCAATCATTTCTTTGGTAAACGTGTATTTAATATCTTATCATTTGTGCTTAATAGAGGGACCCTCAAATGTCATATTTTACAACTATGTGGATATATGTGATAGAGGTAACATTTTCATGGAAATTACAATTTTAAGGGATACTTAGAAAATACTCGCAATAATATTAAAGGTAACAATATAGAATTTAAAGTTAGGTAAGCAAGTAGAAGGAAAATATATTTCCTTATAAGCATAAATTAAAATGAGCACAGACAAGAGAAAGTAAATAAAATGGAGCAAAATATATTTTATTTTTAAAGAGTCACATTCTCAACCTAGGTTAATGATTGCCAATTTTTTTATCCCTAAACCCTGTCTGCAAATGAAGTCTACAGAATTCTGATAAATATGTTTGAAAAAATGAAAATGCTCTGCTTCAAAGAACCCCTGCCTGCCTCCTTACCTTGTCCTTGGACCCCTATAGCTCCTGATATACTTAAGCAGAACACCTTGAGCTCCATGAAAAACTATTTAAGAAACTTATAAGTGTACCACAGTTTGTGTACCAGGAGGTCATTCATATGAAAAAAACAATAGAGTATAGTATATGAAGTCAACATCTAAAATTAATCTAAAAACCAAATCTTAGCAACTCTTCCAGACACATGGAAGGTCAAAAGACAGCTTTAAGAAAGGCACTAAATCTTAAGTGAATGAATAAATGAAAAAAACAAATACATATGCAGACTCCTAAAAAGAAAATAGAGCACTGGAAGATCCTCAAAATATCCCTCTTATTAACTTTTTATCTGTGAAAAGGCTGTAAAGAACAATCAACCTACATTTTTAAGAGAAAAATAAAAAGAACTAGACATGTGAACTGAGCACTTCTTAATTTGTTATTTAGTTATTTTTTTCTGGCAATCATGAGCATCAAAGTATATAGGCATGAGTTTGTGTGTCTCAGAAACATGAGTAAAAAAATACCCACAACCTCTAGTCATAAGTGAATTTCAAAACTACTTTCTTCAGAAGGAACAAGAAAGAACCTACATCCTGTCTAGCCAGCAGGATAAAACCAAAGCTGCTCATGGTTTTTTTGAATATCTTTTTTAAAGTGGGGGAAGGGGAGAAATATTGCTTAAGTGATAGCGTAGACATATTCAGAGGACTGGATCCGCAATGATCTCGTCAAACTCTGGCTACAAAAGATATGGGATCCCTGCCCGGGGGCGCAGTTCCACAAATGTTCCATGTAACTATGGGAACTGTTCCATGCACATTTAGCAGATGGAGTAAGAAAGATAGCCAAAAAATTAAAAACTGATCTTTGCGTGAGTCCTGGGGGGTCTGACATCGCTCTTACAGCCATTGGATGTTTGCCTGAATAAGCCATTCAAGGATTCAATAAGAACCATATGGTCTGAATGGATGTGCTCAGGGACAGTAGCATTAACCAGAGGAGGAAATGTGACGCGAGCGACGGTGCGCTGGTCCTGTGCATCTACAGGTCAGACTCCTGCAAATCAATCATTATAACTTCCAGCCTAAAGAACTTTCCTAAGATGTGGCATCAGCAATAGCCCTTTGGATAGGAGCTAAAGAGATACCATATTTCATAAAATAGTAAACAAGAAGATTTAGACTGTAAAAACTCCGATAGTAATGTTGGCATTGTTACTGAAAAGATATTAATGATAATCAAAACTCAATTCTTGCAATCTCTGATGGTGATCACAAAGAATGTTTCAAGTATTTGGTTTATTGCCGAAAGACTGATTTAATGACTCTATAAGTCCCAATTAGGAGATATAGCACAGCATTTGGGCTTATATATATATATATATATATATATATATATGACATTGATTCCTAATATCTTTGCATGAGAAACATAGAGCTGAATTATAATAGGATTGTATATACCCTTCCAGTGTATTGGGTGTATGAGAGGATATTTGCAGCCTTAGATCGTAATTCATTTAGGGTAGAACATAATGTTTTGACTGGGTCCCAAACTATAAACACAGGAAGTGAAAAAGGAATAGTTCTTCCAATTGCTCTAGAAATTTAAATAATATGAGATGACAAGTTCTGATTTAGAATTTGGGCTGAAATAAACTGCAGCATTCCTGCACCTGCACAGGGGAAAGATAAGACTTAATAGTGTTGTGCTCCAACTCTCAGCTTTTCTGACTTGGGAAGAATGTTCTATATTGAATCAACAATATCACTTTCTTTAAAATCTTAAGATTTCTTTAGAGGGCTCTCATTCCAGATGCTGGCTGGACCCAGTACTGGCTATGGTAAAGATTTACCTTAATCACATCCTAAAGTGGTTCTAGTTTAAAAATATGTATATTTAAAGATACTATGTAGACTCATCTTGATATTTTCCTTTGTGTAATTCTGACAAATTCTCAAAGTGAGACTGAGACATATATCTTGCTTGAAGACAATTCCCTGATATAGTCATGAAATTCAGTGGTCTAATAGCAAGATTTACTGCCTAATGATTAATGATGAATAAATATTTCTTAAGAAAACTTCACCGAAATATATCATTTTTCTAGGTAATTTTTTAAAACATTTATTTTATTTAGAAGGAATGTGCAAGCAAGAATGAGCAATATGAAATATATTCTTACAGTGGAATAATTTCACTTCTTTCACCTTTCTGAATCTGGTTAAACCACCTGAAATGGCAAAAGAAAGCAGAATATACTCAATTTATCCCAATAATTTAGGGTGAAATAACTCGACTGATCTTTAGAATAGTCCAAAATCACTAGGTTGTTTATAACCATTGAGAATAAAGATTAGAAACTAGTCTATCCATCTGAAGATTTCACTTTTCTAGTTTAAGAAATTAAGTAAAATTCTATGCCTATGGAAATAGAGTTTTTATAGGGTTGGCAACTTTGGGTTAAAAATAAGGATAAAAATAGAAATTGCAGCATTCAAATTTCTCACCTTTATGTGCTTATAACTTTATTGACTTCATGTTGCTTTATTTGGTGTAATCTAATTATATTACTTAGGACTTACACATATTAAAATCTTTATGTTGATTAATTTAATCATCTAGAAAATTAGCTAAAATAACATGTTCACATGAAGTCCCTAATAGATTTTTTAAAGCATTTATTATTCAGTTAAATCAGTGTCTTTACTTAAGTCACATGCTACATCAAGGTACTTACTACTGAGGGGAAAGAAAGATGGCCGAGTAGGAAGGCAAGGTGGAAACCTCCTCCCACATGCATACCAAGGAAACAACTACAGTAAATACAACTAACCTTGAAATGACCTGAAGACTGCAGAACAGACTACCTATATCTGGTGAAGAAAGGAAGACCACACAGAGAAGGGTAAAGTGGCAGAGCCATGATCAATCAAGACCCCAACTTTTCTGCATCCCAGCCCATAAGCAGCAGGAGTGAGAACAGAGTGGGGAGGCAGTAAGCATCCAGGACCTCTGCACACCTGGCCCTGGAGATCTGCGCTGGGAACATGAGTCCTTGTTGTATCGGGCTTTGGTGATTAGCAGGAGTGGACACCAAGGAGTGTTGGAACACTGGGAGGCTAAGAATCCTGCTGCTTATGGAGGACAGACATGTTCTGTTAGTTCCACTGAGACCCAAAACAGAGGCAGCAGTATGA